TGAGGTGATGTTTACATGTGTATAGTCAGCTGTCTAGGTGATGTTTACATGTGTATAGTCAGCTGTTGAGGTGATGTTTACATGTGTATAGTCAGCTGTCTAGGTGATGTTTTCATGTGTATAGTCAGCTGTCTAGGTGATGTTTACATGTGTATAGTCAGCTGTCTAGGTGATGATCACATGTCTAAAGTTAGCTGTCTAGGTGATGTTTACATGTGTATAGTCAGCTGTCTAGGTGATGTTTACATGTGTATAGTTAGCTGTCTAGGTGATGTTTACATGTGTATAGTCAACTGTCTAGGTGATGTTTACATGTGTATAGTTAGCTGTCTAGGTGAAGTATACATGTGTATGGACAGCTGTCTAGGTGATGTTTACATGTGTATAGTTAGCTGTCTAGGTGAAGTATACATGTGTATAGTCAGCTGTCTAGGTGAAGTATACATGTGTATAGTCAGCTGTCTAGGTGATGTTTACATGTGTATATTCAGCTGTTGAGGTGATGTTTACATGTGTATAGTCAGCTGTCTGGGTGATGTATACATGTGTATATTCAGCTGTCTAGGTGATGTTTACATGTGTATAGTTAGCTGTCTAGGTGATGTTTACATGTGTATAGTTAGCTGTCTAGGTGATGTTTACATGTGTATAGTCAACTGTCTAGGTGATGTTTACATGTGTATAGTCAGCTGTCTAGGTGATGTTTACATGTGTATAGTCAGCTGTCTAGGTGATGTTTACATGTGTATAGTCAGCTGTTGAGGTGATGTTTACATGTGTATAGTCAGCTGTCTAGGTGATGTTTACATGTGTATAGTTAGCTGTCTAGGTGATGTTTACATGTGTATAGTCAACTGTCTAGGTGATGTTTACATGTGTATAGACAGCTGTCTAGGTGATGTTTACATGTGTATAGTCAGCTGTCTAGGTGAAGTATACATGTGAATAGTCAGCTGTCTAGGTGAAGTATACATGTGAATAGTCAGCTGTCTAGGTGATGTTTACATGTGTATAGTCAGCTGTCTAGGTGATGTTTACATGTGTATAGTCAGCTGTCTAGGTGATGTATACATTTGTATAGTCAGCTGTCTAGGTGAAGTATACATGTGAATAGTCTGCTGTCTAGGTGAAGTTTACATGTGTATAGTCAGCTGTCTAGGTGATGTTTACATGTGTATAGTCAGCTGTCTAGGTGAAGTATACATGTGTATAGTCAGCTGTCTAGGTGATGTTCACATCTGTATAGTCAGCTGTTGTTTACATGTGTATTGTTAGCTGTCTAGGTGATGTTTACATGTGTATAGTCAGATGTCCAGATGATGTTTAGGCGAGAAGTAGCCAGCAATCTAGGTGGTGTTTCCGTATATATTGGCATATGTATCCTATCCTATCATGTGAAGTAATTTGGGCCAAAAAAGAAGCTCATTATATGAAGCATGAAAAATTGCTATAATAGTCCTATGACATATTGTTCTCTAGTTGTTTACTAGTACAGCAATGTGGTAATAATAGTATCAAAACTATTTTAAAAAAACGCTTCTTAATATAAGTTCAAGAATGTGCACTTGATTTCCCAGGAGTATTTCATCACAGTCGTCAAAGACAACACCCAACTAACCCTCCATCCAATGACATTGAGATGACTGACTACTCCCCCTTTCTTAATTATGGTGCCATCCAAGAAGACACATTGGAGGAAAGAGACAACAAGCATACAGATCGAGGTGCTTGCATAAAATAGCCAGTCAGTGGCCATCTTGGATTGTTACCATGGTTCCCGTTGACCAAGAAATGACCTTAGCTATAACTATTACAATGTAACACACTGTGTTTTGGATTATATCTATTTTTAGTTCCATACGCCATATTTTTAAAAACCCTAATATATAGCAAAATCGTGGGATGTAAACGCTGTGGTCATTTCTGGTGTAGGTATCATAAATCCATCATGGCTGGAAAAAGACTTGCTAAATTTTATAAATATATATACTTTCTGCATCATCTAGCTTTCTGGCTCTATTCCTACAACGTAATTCATGTGTTGAGGGTGCTCTGTTCACTCTCACCAAAGTGAGGCTCACTTCTAGGTGTTGAGGGCGCTCTGCTTACACTCACCAAAGTGAGGCTCACTTCTAGGTGTTGAGGGCGCTCTGCTTACACTCACCAAAGTGAGGCTCACTTCTAGGTATTGATGGCGCTCTTTATTCCCTCCAAAATGAGGCTCACTTCAACTTCTAGGTTTTAATTGTGCTCTGTTAACTCTAACCAAAATGAGGCTCACTTCTAGATGTTGAGGGCGCTCTGCTTGCACTCACCAAAGTGAGGCTCACTTATAGGTGTTGAGGGCACTCTGTTATTAAATAAGGCTCACTTCTAGTGTTAAGAGTGCTCTGTTAACTCTCACAAAAGTGAAGCTTACTGTCTTAATTTCATATTACATTATGTCTGTAATGATTTAAAATTATATATTGTATGTTCATTTCAAATATTGTGTGTTGCAACAGCAGCTGCCTTCTTGCCAAAGTAAATGTTTGATATGTGGCTGCTTATGTGTATAGCTACTCATATACAGCTGCCTAATGCAGAAGTCTGTGATAAATATTAGAAAAAACTCAGAGCTATGCCACTTCATTATATATCACTTATTATTGTATGATATTGTAAAGTTATGATATCATAAAAAATCCTAATTCTGATTTGGTGATCTATAACACCTGATATCATTGGTTGAGCTGGTTGGTACGAGTGACATCATAGGCCTGTATAATCCATGATGTTGCAAGTATCAACCATGCTGCTCTACAAATAAGTTATATCAGGTGATTTCTAGCATTTTTATTATATGACCAACCCCTAGTGTGAAAATAATAACAGAGAAATCATGATTTAAGGAACTACATGAATCTATGCTAATTAGGTGTGGCATCTACACATGTTGGTGACCTTTGCAGTTACAGTCTCGGTTTAGGAAATCGGCCAAAATATTTTTTCGAAATAAACTTACAATCAAATTTTCATTACATCATGCAAGTAGTTATCCAGTCTAAAATGTTTACATTGCAATAAGAAAAATCACAGTATTCAGAAAACTGATACGGGAATTAGCTGGAATAGATTTTTACTGAAAAGACTTTTTGGGTGTTTTATATGGAGTTTATTTTACTCGATATTTGTTGAGTTTAAGGCAAAACATAGGAAAAAAGGTATATTCGCTGGATTTTATTTTCACTGAATAATAGTGAAGATAAATTACAAGCAAAAATTAAGTATTTGACAGTAATTCCAATATGTCGAATAAAGCACCACCTAGTGGTGGTGTACAGATTTTTATATTATTAGTCTATAGAGGGCGCTCATTAATTATTACTGGAAGGACACTTTATGTGTCGCACTATAATGTACTCCTTTGTGTTTATTGAGTTATGTTCCCAGAATATTATTTTATTAAAAGGTAGATTTGTAGGTACTGTGGATTATGATAACTTAAGGTTATGCTAATCGATTTACTGTGGGGG